GTAATAATTATCTCTTAACAAGTTATCTCGGTTTTAATGCAAAATAAATGGGATGGAGGCAAGTAGATTTGTGATGGGGACGTGAGCCTTGAATCAGGTTGGTTTGTTTTGCTGGACATGCTTGTATGCGATAAAGATGAAATTGAGATGGTGATGTGGTCAGGATAGCTTTTGGGATTAGTCAGGGACCAACAAACCTGATGTACATGTGGATTATCATTAGCATTGGATGACTAGGTGGCAGCCTTTGATTTTGCATGCGGCAAGTGAATATGAGTCCTGTTAGGATTCTGTCTCGGGCTAACATAGAGAGGTGATGACATCTATGGTTCCATGTAATTCAAGATTCTACAAATGCGTATGACGATTTCCAATTGGCTCACGAGTGATGAAAGGATAATTATCCTAATGCAACACACGGGATAATCAACGAGATTAGGGGATGATTATTCTACATGAAGTAATATTCCAAGAATCGTGTGTCATGGCTATAACTTGAGGATGAGGCAGTTCATTATGATAAATATAAAGCCACAGACAACATTCAAAGGACCTCAAATTCAACACACAACTGCCCTTCACAAACTCTCTCAACAATTTGAGATTTTTTATTTTCTCTTTTCGCTGGCACATCTTCCGTTGGCATCAACAGCACTGTGAAAGCAACCGGTGACATCTTCAGTCGACATAGATAGCTCTGTCACCGTAGAATCAGCCGATCTCGCAACATCTTCCGTTGGCATCAATAGCACTACGCGTGAGGACGGTTGGTTATCTATCCAAGTCTTGGTCGAGAAGGATTTCTGAATCCTTATTGGATGAGGTCATCTCATTAGCATTCTCGGCGAAGTGAGGTGTTACGAGTTATTACATTCGGCACATTGAAAGCTGAATTTGATATTGAACTTCACAGAACTAGCAGCCTTGTCTTCAGGCTCTAGAACCCGAAGGCCGAGAGTGTTCCTTCCTCGGCCGAGTCTCGAGATTCAGAAGTCAGCAGCACACCCAACGCAACATCAACAAATTTTACTCCTCGGTCGAGCTCGGCCGACGAGTTGGCACGCCCCGTACTCACCGAATGACGTAGTTAGCTTATAGATTACTCGGCCTGCGCGCCACGTAGGGTTGGTAGTTTTTAGGGTCAACAGGTGTTTATTCCTTGCTTTTGATTTCTCTTTTGCTTTCTCTTTTTCCTTTTGGCAGATGGCAGACAACGCTTCTGTATTGGTTGAGGAAGTGCGCATGCAATTCAATGCTCAACATAGAATCCAAAAAGATCAGATCCCATACCAATTATCTCTCCACCATTGTCTCCGACATTATCAGCTATCACTGCAAGGTTTCTTGGGTCATCATCGGGAATATTTCTTTCAACCTTGCCGACAAGATCTGCACCGACATAAGTAGCTTTGGTATATATTCCTCCTCATTTTTCTTTTTCTGCTGTTTGAACACAAGCTAGTGTACTCCAGCTGTAAAAACCTCATAAGAGTGCTTTTCTTTCTTTCCATTTTACCTTTATTCCACTTTCGCTTTCTCAAAAAAAAAAAAAAAAAGATTTCACATGGCCCTGTAAAGAAGGTGCAGGGAATGGGTTGCGATTGAGCACTCTGGGTGGTACTACAACCCATAGAACCTCATGGCCGGGCTCTCAATTGCAGCCACCGATCCACGATGACTTCTGAGGTATAGGTCGCTTCTCATTCTGAACCATCAAAACTCCCCTTACTCTTTCAAATTTGGACATGGTACCCCTTACTGCTTGAGTTGACTTTTCAACTTGGTAGATGAACGAACATAGCCCAGAAATTACCATTTTGCACAGACGAGATTTTGAAGGTCTTCGGGCTTTCCGGTGGGCTTCCATCTCAACGGCGCAGCAGGCGAGGCCGAAGGTCATTGCCTAGATAGAGCTGCGGGGGGCCCAGTTCATGAGGTCGTCGAACTCAGCGGCTTTAGAAAGGCCAGGAGGGGGCGGGGGGGGGGGGGCGGAATGGGGATGACGAGAGGGAAGGGACGGTGGTGTGGAGAGAGAGGTATTAACAGAATGGCTGAGGAGAGACTAAAACCGCTTGAAGAATCTTCTTTTGTGAAACTTGTTCTTCCTTCACTGCCTCTCCTACCCCATTCGCCAGAAATCACTCTCCTCTGCTCCCAATCACATCAGCTGCAAAGAGAGAATATGGGAAAGAAACGAGCGGATGACAAAGACCTTCCACTCTTCCGATTCTCACCACCGAATTTTTCATTGTCGACCTTCTGTAGTTCAGGCTGGTACTCGATTGATACGGTGAACTTTGGTTGCCACAATGTGATTGGTGAGCCACACCGCCACGTGGTGAGGTCTTGTGCAGGGCGCACCGAAACGAGCCAGGGTGTGTCGTAGGGGAACATAGGCACGTTCTCTTGCTAGCGCCGCTGTTCCTGTTATTGTTCTTGCTGATGGGTAACCGATTCTTCATGGAAATTGAAAGGCCAAGAGAGCCGGGACGGTTTGCGAATCGTAAGGACCACGACGATGACGACAGGGAAAGAGAGTGGGCGTACATAGAGATGCGTGTGGGGGAGGCGGAGCTTTCAGAACGTCGACGCCCCAGAGGAGAAGCTCGAGGAGGTGGACGACAAGAAGCCTGATGACGAAGAAGAAAGGAACGGCAACGATTTGCGATGCTTGTACCTGTCAGATCTTGTTCTGGACGACGAAGCCACGACCATTGTCGCATAGTAGTTAAAAAAACATATAAGATGGTTATTCTTTCTAGAGAGAGAGATCTGAGAATTGTGAAGCTCGTTCGTAGCTGTTGCAGTGACCTGGAACGGAAGGTATAGGTTTTGCAGCGACTGTGCAGATGTTTGGTTCTTTGGTTTCTGCTGATTCACGGTGGAGTGTGGTGAGATCTCACGGTGGTGAGATGAAAATGTGAAAGAGAACCGACATAGCTTTTCGTGTTGTTTCCCACAGACGGCGCCAAATGTTGATGCATAAAACCGGAGGGGTCTTGGAACAACGTAAATCCTACCGTGAATCTGCAAGAAATGTAAATAACACAAAATGTATCGTGGTTCACCCCAATGTTTGGGCTACGTCCACACCGATTATTGTATTTCTCTGAGAGGATTGTGAGGAAGAGAGCTTTGCTCTGAATATGAGAGAGGATCTCAGGCCTAAGAAATTGGCCTCCCTTACTTAGGAGAGTGAGGGGTCCTTTTATAGAATAAGGGCTCCTCACTTATTACATATTTGCCTCTTCCTTTATAACATAATTACATTTGAGTCCCCCGAGTATTTATACGAGATCTAAATACAGATGCCCTAAGTATGGTACAAACAATATTTTCAATGCATTTGTTACATCAAATTCCATGAATATGTTACCTATATTTCTTAGGGAACTTTAACGAAAAACTCCCGGTAGTGTTCACTTTAACGAAAACCACATTTTTACACTACAAAGTCAATCATGGTACTATTCACTTTATCCTTTATTTTGTCTTTATCGTTAAAACTCAAAGTTTTCAAACCATTTTCATTAGTTTTTTTTAGTTCTTATGGATCTATTTTATTTTTCAGTTTCATTAATGTAAATAACTATCTTATGAAATAATTCTTTTACAATATGTGCATGGCAAGACCTTTTCCATTAAGAGTGATATCTGATGAGATGGCATGTGTATGGATCTATTTTATTTTTCAGTTACAGTAACTGCATGTGGACTTCGTCAAACACCATAGTCTGGCTCGGTGGATTATATCCGTCATTGTTTGATACAACAGTATATTGCACTAACAAGCGATAGATTATAAGGAAAACTAATGAAAAGGGTTTGAAAACTTTGAGTTTTAATGATAAGGACAAAATAAAGGGTAAAGTGAATAGTACCATGATTGACTTTTTAGTGTAAAAATATGGTTTTTCGTTAAAGTGAACAGTACTGGGTGCTTTTCGTTAAAGTTCCCTAGATTATATCCGTCATTGTGGATGAGTTGCGCATAGAGGTTTCAGGGCTTCTTGTGAGGGAAGTTCTGTTTGAAATTTTGAAACGGATAAATTATGGGAGTAAAATTACAAGCACACAGCAAACACTATTTGCGGATTGTGAAGAGTTCAAAGCAATGTAATGTATTACATTTTACTTTTCGGATTTCAATGCAATTGCAATCTTATATAACATCTTTCAAACATTTCAATCTCACACACAAAGTTTTATTTTGTTGCAATTTTATACATACGTTAGTTAACCGTTAGTTTGACTGTTAAGTAATAATGTGACAAATGCATGATCCACATATTTGATGACGTAACATATAAAAAATAATTGGTTATCAAAGACAAATAAAAAGGGGCCCACCCCCTCTTCTCCCACCCGAGACCTCCATCACCATCTCCTTGTATCTCCAATGCATGTACGGTGTTCACAGTTGTGTGCAATGCTGCTGCATTTTCTCCCATTTCTCATCACACTACCGCCCCAAATCCCTCTCTCTTCCTCTGGTCACAGATGATAAAACCCGATCTGAAATTCGAAACCCAAAACCCAGTTGCATGTTCGAGTTCTGGAGCTCAATTCGAAGGACCAAGTTGGAAACTTTCCCGGAAACCCACAGGGGATTGATAAATCGTGGCGTTTTCTGAATTGGGTTTCTGGAGATTACTCTGTTTGACCATTTTCTCGGAAAAGCTGGGGACTTTTTCTTCAGCTGACTGCTCTTTCCTCCGTGTTCTTCGCGCTACTAAGTTTGAATGTGAAAAATCCTCCACCACCACCCATCCCGTAGAACCACCATGTCAATCCTCCCCCTCCCAATCCCTACACCCCATTCCCAAATTTTCCAAATTTCTTCTGATTCTTCGTCTTCCCAAATCTCCCTAAAATTTTCTCTCAATCCGAAAATAAAAAACCCTCTGAAAATATGTCACACATTTATCACGTCATCATTTAACATTAAACTAACGATTTAGCTAACAAATATGTGAAACTGTGACAAAATAAAAGTTCTGTGAAGGAGTAAAATATAATTTATCCAATATTTTATAAAAATCTGTAATATTTTACAAGATTTGATCAACCATAAAAAAAAAAAGACAAAATAATAAAATACGAAGACGGGACAAAAAAAACAGTAAAAACTAAAAAGAATATTCGCCTTCTAGATCTAGAGTTTACAAGGGTCGGTCAAAAAATGAGTTAACAGACCGAGTCAACATCCAAACCCAATCAGTCAACGTGTCAATCGCTCACTGCATCCGCCGACTCCGCCTGTCTCCGCTGTGTATATCGTGATTTATACTATCCCCCAAAAACGTCTTCGCCGCGTCCAAGCTCGGGAAATAAGTCGGCTCCAGAAATATCCGACTCAGCGAGTCACAGGTCTCCGGACTCACCACAACTCGGTTCCCCTTCGCCTCCAAGCTCCCCATCAACACCACCAGCACCTGCTTGTACGCGTAGTAGAAACGCTTCAGCGCCGACTCCATCGCCTGAAGCGCCTGCAGCACGTGGATCTTCTCCGAGCCGGAGTCGGAGTCCGAACCGGCCTTCTTCTCCGAGTACAGCCTCATCGCCGCCTCCTGAATCCGGGGCCCACCCTTGGGGTCCACCTCAACCCCCAATATGAACGGCACCTTATGCCTTAGTTCCTTGCAGAGCTTCGTCACCTCCACGAGCGCCTTCGATCTGAAGCAAAACGACTCCGTATCGTCCACCGTCTTGATCTGCAGCTGATTCTTCAGCCTCAAAAAATCGGCCGGGTCCATCAGAAGGTGGAGATCCTCTATCTCCGCCAGGAGCTTCCATATCCGTTCGATCACGTAACAGTCGCTCGCAGCCTTTTCGAAGTCTCGAGATTCGATGCGGCTCGTTACGCGCTTGAGAAGCTCCCGGCAAACGTGGACCCACGACTCGAGGACCTGGTGCGTGGCGTACACCGTCTGGTTCTCGTAGCTGTCGACGTGGGGGTCGTACGGGCTCTTCCTCAGCGTATGCAGCTCGCTCGGCTTGCAAACGGCGTCGTAATCCAGGTTCGGTTTCCCGGCGAGGTTCGGCTCACCCAGACCCAGCGAGTACGGACAGTTCCTCATCTCGCACTCGATCGAGTACAAGATCTTCTGCGCCATCCCTTCCGATTTCTGCCACGTGGCGAGTCGTGGCAGCAAACTGGCCTCGCTGATGCGGCTCACCACCGTGTGCTCCCCCGAACTCCACACCTCCGCCATGCTCCCGTCGCGGGCAAGCTCCCCATTCGACGTGCTGAGATCAACGATCGGCGCCATTCCGCGCGTCTCGCTGTCTTCCTCTTCGTCCTCGATCAACATGGCGATGAGCTGTATCTGGCTGGTAGTGAGCGACTCGAGCCGGCGCTTCCACTCGCGCCGGTTCGAATACGGTCTAGGATCGGACAAAACAGTCGAGAGGAACCGGAACGTGATTTCGAGAGCTTGGAGAGCCGGTTTGAGAATCGACTCGTTCTTCCAAGAGGGGAAGTCGTGGGAGCTCCAGAGCTGTCGGAGCTCCGGGAGGCGGAGGTACTGCTCGTAGGTGGAGCAGGACATATCGGAGGCGGCCGAAATATCGGTCTGGACTTGGGAGGCGGCGCGAAACGAACCGGGAACCGAAACGTGGAGCTTGTTGGAGAGCTTGGGGGATTTACTGGGCATGTTGGAGGAGATGATCTTTGCCTTCCAATCTAAATCAACCATTTTTCAGAAGAGAAACCGTCTTTGAAAATGTTTTTATGTTTTTGAGAATTTGTGGATTTAGGATCTGAGTTGCGTTTGAACTGGATGAGGAGAGGAAACGGGTATTTATAGGGCAGAGGAAATTGAAGAGAAGAAAAGGCGTGTGGATAAATGGGCATGAAGAATGAGGAATTTGAAAGTCGTGGTTTTGAAAACTAAATTAAAAAAAAAAAAAGGTCGGTTTTTAATATTTTTGTTTTGTGGGCACATGAAGCTTATCCATATCACCTAATGACTAACCCGTTACCAATACGGTGTGTCCGTAGCAGCGTAGCTTCTTAACAACCAAACGAATATTAAATAAAAATACAAAAACTAAATAAAAAAAGGAAAAAAGTCGGTTTAATTTTTAACTGTATTCCGCTATTAGTATTACATTGGGTTGTGTTTTTTCACGGTAATATTTTTGCTCATTATTTTTAAGTAATGGTAATACCCATTACTTTATTTATTATCGTTAGATAAATTTAATTTTTGATATTTGTGTGGTGGGTAGACACAAATTTTTAACATTAAATTTATCTAATGTTAATAGATAAGGTGGTAAGCAATACCACCACTTGAGGGTTGTGAGAAAAAAATACTTTTTTTTTTTTTCTCACATGTAAGTGAGAGATTTTAGTTTGAATATCGTGAATAATAAGTTCAAATTGATTATATTTCTATACCTTATTAATGGTAGACATATCGTTGTCTAAAAATAAAAACCCAAATTTAATACCATCTCGTTATGTTATTGTTTTATTTAACTATAATATGCATATTTTTTTTGTCTGTAGATATATTCTTGAAGTGAGACATATCAATCTTATGGTGTATTTTTAGCGAAGTGTTATTGACATCCCAAAAATCTCATTCTACACTCTTCACAACTATATTTTTCTTTTCAAATATAGAAAGTTAAGAGTTATAATGAGAATTTTGAAGTGCTAATAACAATTTTTTATTTTTATTATGCCTGAAATCAGTCACGGATGTAGATTGGGACTGATGTGGACCATCTAGAATTTGGAAAATGTACAAATGCAAATCTTCCAAGGAGTAAAGGACCCTCTGAATGTTTAATACGGGTCATGTTTGTGCCACCAAAATGTTTGTTGTAATCAGGTTGCACCGACAACACTCAATAAATTCATTCATTAGACATATAAGTTGACATATGCACAATTCGATTTGGCTAGAGATAACAAGTCCAAAGTGTTCAACAAGATGCACTTTTTTACGAGCTATACACCTGTTTCTATATAAAACTTGGACTTTTAGTACTGGAATTTTCCAAGATTCGAGTTCTGAAATTTTCACTGCCTGGAATGATAATAATATGTGATAGTGTTCGTAATGCACACAACTGCGTTCGTTTCAAATGGACCTGAAAATAGTGTGGAATGTTGAAAGTTTTACTTTAGTCAACGTTAATCGACGTTGTCCATCTACTATCGGCTAAGCTAACTTTAATATTGTGTCTTTTTTTTTAAATTTTCATTTGTTTTGAAAATAAACGTTTTATTTCTGTATCCAACTATACACCCAACTGTCGAATTGAATTGAGAAACTTTTAGCTTACCTTAATTGGTAACAATACCTACAATATTGATTTACGGTGATACATGTACCTTCTTTTTGTAATAGACAATTTTTTTTAGTAAAGAAAAGTTTAGGCGGTGAATGGTTATTTTTCACCATCAGTATCAGGTATACTCATAATCTTAAGATGAAAGGACTTATCCGTAGCACCTACCTGCCATTTGTAATCTTTATGTATTTACGTAGGAATTTACATATTGCGCACCAACAAGGAATGCAGACAGCGAGAGTCAAACTTTGATGGGACGACACATGACAGAGCTCTTACTAAATGAGCCAACACTCGTTGGCTGTAATAGAAAATTCTCACTCCATCAAGTTTCTATATTCCCTTTCGACAAGAAAAAAAGTTTCCATATTCCCTTATATCGCCTTTGTTCTCTTTTTGAACAAAATAGGAGCGTACCCTATGAACCTTCACCATTCCCTTAAATTACTTGACTTTGGGTTGTACTGGTCAAGAATGTTAGAGAATAAGATTTCACATCCGGTCATAGATAAATAATAAATTCATAACATATGAAAGTTGCAATCTCTAACATCACCAAGGTCTTTAAAATAAAATTCAACACCTAGTAATGAACAGTTAAGTTGAGACACTATCGATATTATTGATAATGGACTTGCATAAGCCTACGAATTTATTATTGTATCAAATTAGGCTATACTTTCGACACCTCCTAAACCAGATTTACTGGCCTCAAATTTGCAGTTTGCAAAGTTTTAGATAAGTCGAATCCAATATAATATATATCATTTTATTTTTGTGGTTAATAGTTGTAGCCGAGTTGTAAAGAAGACCATTAATTTATTCGAGTTCCTTCTTTGGATGCTTGGTGGGTTGTCCCTTCTCTAAAATTGGTTGTCATCCAAAAATTCTGAGTAGAAGAAAATGTTTGTCCACATTTCTCAATTGGTCAACAAATATAAAGAAGGCGACATGAGTTTGTGGTCAGAATTTACGAAACCGTGCCCTTGTCGGTTAAGTTGGGATAGGGTTAAGTTAGGAGAAGGAACTCAAAAATCTGTCCGGACATTTCGGAAAGCAGAAAGAAAACGACTGCAGCCGACTCCCCCTAATTTTATACCACGGCCTTTTAGGCCGCCTCTTCGCATTGGATTAAAGCCAAATTAGTCTTTATAAATACCAACGGCGTATGGAAGAGCATTCTGGATAGGATTGAACAGTCTGGACTAATTTTCTTTTGTAATTACTTGATGCTCATGTCCATATAAAGTTAGGATTCCTTTTCCGAAGACTGTGAGGAAAAAAAAAAATATCCGAATTTTTCAGAAAATTATTTGTTAGGTTGGAATAAGTTTTTGAGCAACCAAATAGAGAAGTTTTTCGCTCCTCTAATAAAATTTTGTAGCATATCGGGATTATTTGTTTGGTGTAGAATTCGGAAATTGAAATTTTGCAATACATCGAAAATGGTGTCATGAAAATGTACAATTCATATATAGTGTCATGCAAGCGCGAGCTGAAGTTTTAAAAGGAAGGGGAACAACGAGAGTCAAAATTAAGCCGAAAATGTGGAGTAAGCTCATGTACCATCACACCTATAAGTCTCAACCTCATGTATGACAAAACACCTTCTAAATTCTTAATTGTAGTAGTTTGACATATTGAAGAAATCTCTAGGGTTTGAACGATGGATTTGGGTGTTTGCATGTTTTGCATTGCACTCAAAGGATTCGAACTTACCCAATTAAAATACAACACTTGAAAGATTTGTCATTTCCAACATTGTACATTTCACATTTGGTAGTGAAAACGAAGTGGAAAAGCAAAAAGAAATATAATAAAAGCAACCAAACTGGCGGACTTTACATTTCATTTACTTTACCCATACATATCCAATCCAGATGATTCATAATATTTAACCCGAAATACACCAAGTGGCATTGCATTCTTCAATTCAAATTATGGGCATGCACTGCACGTCCATCTTCCCGTTGGGGACTGTTTGGATAACTCATAACAACAAGAGGATGCTGAAACGACTGTGACGGCGTTGCCCCCTACACTACAAACATCAATGCATTAAGGAGGACACGCTTAACCATCTTTGTTGAAAATGTGCACTAAAGATGGGGTCGCATGACCCAATTTTATTGCTTGCCTCCGTATTCCTAGATGACACCAAACCATAGGTCGCCATTGTTGGCTAATCTCTCTCTTTAACTTCGACTCTTTGTCCCTTTCTCACTCCTTTTTCAAATCCAATCCAATAAACTATGAGATATTTCAGTGTCTTGGACAACTTGTTATTATACAATTAATGATACACTTTAGAAAAAACTTTTGTATAATTGTACAATGACATGTGATGTTCCGTCCTATGTTTCAGGAACACTAAAAAATCTCGAATCCCCAAACAAGTTGGACTTGGATTGGATCAAATCCTCGGAATTGGATCCTCGCCGGATCCCTTTCCTAGGAATCCTAAGGATCAAAGCACACGGACCGTTGATAAAAAATCGTGCGGTCACAATTAAATGCTTTTTATATTTTTAAAAGTAAAACAATCTTATTTTACGTGAAAAATATAAAAAAAAATTACGACCACACGATTATTAATTAACGGTTCGTATGCGTTGATCCATAGGATCCTTAGAGGGATGCTGCGAGGATGCAAATCCCAAATCCCCCGCGTTTACCGCCGTCAACTTCTGCCAATCCCACCGCCTTCAACTAGCCACGCGTCCGCTACCCGCTGGCCCACCAAAGCGAGACTCAATCTAAGTGCCTTCCAACTCGGCACGCTTTTTGGTCGCCAACCAAATCACGCGGGGTTAACCATGTGAGACATGCCCCCACCTTCCGACACGTGGTGTGAAGGTCACGTGAGCTACCCACTCCACAGGTGCGCGGGACACGTGGGATCATCACAGTTGTGCGGCGGTGCCTAACAAGCCACTAGGATGCAGCCATGTTGGCCGTACAGTAGTGGTGGTGGTGGAGTTGCATGATCCGACGACGGGTGACTGTTGGGATGGGTATGGTTAGTTGGCTTAGCCGTAAGTTCTCGTGTGTGTATGGTAGTCTGATATGCCCACCCCATCAAAAGCAACCAAAAGGCAAGAAAAGTTTGGTGTTTAATTATTTAAAAAAAGATTTGGACGTAAAATTGGGTCCTTGTATTTGCACTCAACATACACTTAGTTTGCAAACCAAGCGTAACCATATTATTCAGAATTAATTTGCTCATTTTTTACATCCGAGTTTGAATTTATTTTTCGAGTATAATGTGTGTTAGATGTGAAGTATATTATAAGTAGACGGATCACTAGAGGTATAGATAAAAAGAGCGACTTCAAGTTAACAAGTATTCTGCTTTGCCAGAGTCAAGAAAAACATTTATTTTATGTAGCCCTATCCATGATTTTCAAAAAGGTTGTTTCCACGATTCGAAATCGTGATTTTTTTTGTCACAAAGAGGTAACTTTTCTGCTGTAGTACGGCTCGCC